AAAAACACTAAATATACGAGAATAGGAAACGTCCACACCACAACTATGACAATAACTTCACAGAGGAACTATATCACTGGTTTTACTTTCAGAACAAATTCCTGGCCAATCAGAATACACCTGACTTTAAAAGGCTTGAGTATTTAAAGTGGCAAATGCATAATTGCACTGCACACTACTATAAACAGAAACTTATCATGCATTGGTGTGAATGCAAATACAGTTGTTTTTATACAGTAGTTATCTGTATAATTATCACTCTTGGTGTGACCAAGCCTTAATATATTCTTTAAATGCGGCTAAAATGTAATTTAATTTTTTGGGCCACATACAGTGGGTACGGAAAGTTGTCAATATGGGGTGCTGTGTGTACATTAATGAGGAAAAAAAATTAACAAATGATTTTAGCAAATGGCTGCAATATAACAAAGAGTGAAAAATGTAAGGGGGTCTGAATACTTTCCGTACCCACTGTACATAGTTTAACATGTTTTTATCGAGCACCATGATATTCCATGTAACACATTCGTCAAGGTTCTTAGGTTATTTGCCAGCACAGCCAAAACAAGCAAGCACTCACAGTGTTAATGTGACTGTCCTTAAAACAAAGTGTATTTCAACCGGCTGTTCGGTAAACAAGACTCTCTCCTCCCTCTGAGTTGCTTGTGCAGATGTGAGCGTGGACCGGACCAGCTGGCCTGGTGAGTCAGAGCGCTTTCTACAGCACACAGCTCCTGGATCCGCTCTCACACCAGCAGTGACCACAGACTGCAATTCAACAAAGACCTGCACAATCTGACCACGGCAACATGTGCACTTATGAATTTTCACAACTGCTCGAAAAGTGCTTGCATGGAACACATAATTCATTCTGAGAAGAACGTTTTCCTTGTTCTGGGCTGAGCTCCATGGTGTGCTTTTCTAGGAAAAAAAGAAAGAAAGAAAGAAAGAAAGTGGACTACAGGTTTACAGTAGTAGTTCACCCAAAAATGTAAAAATCTGAAAATTTACTGTCAGGCATTCCAAGATGTAGATGAATTTGTTTGTTCAACGGAACAGATTTAGCATAATTTAGCATTATATTAAGCATTAATAAATTCAAGCAGCTGATAAAAACAATAATCCACAACACGACTCCAATCCCTCACTTCTTGTGAAGTGAAAAACTGTTTGTAAGAAATAAATCCATTATTATGACTTTAAACTGCTCACCATAATATGACCCCATAATCCATACTAATGATTCCTCCAATGAAAAAATTCATCCCTTGTTGTCCTCTCACATTAAAATCCACAAACATGTTTGTTTAGAACTGTTTTGGACTGTTTTCACTTCACTGGAGAAAGCAATACTATGTGTAGAGGACATTTAGCCTGAAGCAAAAGTTTGAAGTAAAAAAAACATATTGATAGATTTTCACTTCACAAATGTTGATTGATGGACTGGAGTTGTGTGGATTTTCTTTTTTGGGTGAACTACTCATTTAAAGAATTATTAGTTATTTACTTAACCTCATGTTATTTAAAACATGCTATGCTGCATCCACCAAAGTTCACATCAAGATGCAAAAAATGCCACATGACAGTGAGTAAATAATGTAAATATCTCAAGCATGTATTTGCTTGCATTTTGGCGTCTCTGGTATTATTTAAGCACTTCAACCCTCTGCATATATTCTACAATGCCATGAATCTTGGATCCATTTTGTCTTCAAGAATCATCCATTAAAAAGCAAACCTCTGAAAAACGTAGGCTCTGCACATACAGAGTCATTCACCTTACTTATTTTGCAGCATTTGCTGCCGCCCGTATCCTGTCTGCTAATGTTCATCAGCAGGGCTGAGTTTCCTGCCCGTTTGTGTTCCCTGTTCAGAGTCCAGATGCTCCTCTCCTCTTCCATTGTCTAGGTATCATTCCTATGATGAATCAGATAAATGGGATGAGCAATAATTGCTTTGTGGGCATCATTACGCGAGAAACTGTGAAGAAGAGGTCGTAATTAGAGCAGACCCCAGAGCTCAGTAGACCTTGATCAATACCATTAAAAATGTGCACTTTCCTTAGCCTGCATTAGAGGAAAATCTAAACAGGGATTTCTTTTTGCTGTTAATGATTCTGAACTGCACCTCCATTACCACATATGAGAGAATGCTTTATTAACATAATCAAATCAGTTTCTCTTGCACATACCGATAATATGGAAAAAAGTGAAAATTCTCTGTGCAATTAAGAGCTTGTTATAATGACCTTGGCAATCTCAGGATCAACAATACATTTCTCATTTATTTCTCAAATACAGTCTCACTTAGCACACATTCATGCCCCTGAGCCATTGTGTACCAACAAAATGATTTATAATAGCAAACTACAATGGGAACAGGGTGTGCAGCCTACAACTAACTGTAGCCCAAAGTGAATGCTAATATTCATCAGTCATTAGCACAAAGCTATCTGACTCCCTCGGGTAAAATTACCACAGCCATCTTGGTCCATTTCCACTTCCTGTGACTTTAAAGGTCATCTTTAAGGAGAAAGAGATCTAAAACTTGTGTCACCTTTCTCGTAGGGAACATATGTTTGCAATTGTTTCTTAAGGACATGGGCCCTGCCAAAAGACAAGATGGCAGAAGGTTTGCGCTGAAAAATCGTAATGATCAGCTAGTGTAATTACAGAAATCTAAATTTGCATCTTGGGTTTTAATTCATTAAATCCATCTTTCCTACAAGCTCTTTAGTTTGCTCCATCTGCTTCCTAAACAAATGGCGGAAAAGACCGAGAGGCTGTTGGCTTATTTTTTCTGCAGCAAATTACGTGGATGCTAATGGCTACTGTATTGATTGTTATTGCAGCGCAGAAGGTCAAGGTTGCATGAAAATGTAATCGAAAGAACTTTTAATGGCACGAAGGAGCTAAATCGTGCTGCCAGAAACACAATTAAACACAATAAACAATTACCAGAAAGTCCATCTATACGTGTCACATCCTCTGGCTCCATTCTCAATATCTGTAGCAGCTTGAATGGCAGATTTAGCTGAGCCTCCACCGTGGATCGCTCCTCGGAACAAGTTCACAATTTTCTTCACGACTCGACAGTATGCTTGGGCGTTCGCTAATTTCACTATTGTGCGATTTGGCTCGCGTATCTGTGAAGTTTGATATTTTGGATGCTACTTGTGCAAAAGTGTGAAAAAGTCACAGCTTTCTGGGAGCTTCGTTCAGCTGCGTAAGATTAGCGACCTGTGATACTGCCACTAATGCTGAATTAGTTTGGAGTGCAACCGCAGATACTGTATCTGTCATTACTTAATCAACTTCAGTTCTAGCAGGCATAGCAATCAAACAACTCCGAGTTGTGTGCTACGGGGGCAGAGAGACATAACGCATGGCTGGATCCGCACTACTCTAATTTCCCTCCAGATAATGAGTTACATTCACTAATGTGATGTCAAAGGCATAGCCAGAGTTAATAGAATGATTGATAGGGCTCAGTAATAACTCGCTGCTGCAAAACAGACTCTCCAAAAAATACACTGAGCAATAATTAATCCACATTACTCAATGTATTGTGCCGAGGAATCTGCTATGTGTGCTTGAAACCTTTATCTCCTATTCTCTGAGAGCAGACATTGGGTGAAAAACAGATTTGAAATTGTTTACTCACCTCCTGACTAGGCAGCACTAACTCTATCAGCGATTATGAAACCAGGACTTTGCATCAAAATGCTGCAATGTTAGTGTAAATTGCATCATTACATTTGATTTTCTTTATGACACCAGTGCAAAACATTTGTTGTCAAAGACAATTTACCCAATATTTTTAGAACTCCCCATGAGGCCTACACATAACAGGTAAATAATGCATAAATTTGCAACATACAGCACAGGAAAATAAGACTTTAACCCCTTTCTCTCTTGTTCTTTCTCGTCACAAACAGCCTCATTTATTTCGGTGACCCTGCTGAACTCTGTCATTTCTCCGCAGAACCCTGAGAGCTCACTTTCGCAACTTCGGTAATGCCAGCAAAACTAAAATTGATTTTTTTTTAAATAGTAATATTAAAAAAAAAAAAAGAACCTAAAATTAAAACTGACAATATAAAAATAAAAGCTAATTGAAAATATTAATGAAAAATAATTATTATATAAATATGAATAAAATAACACTGATCCTGGCCATTCTTTTTCATATAATGAAAGTGAATGAGGACTGGGACTATAACAAATAAAAGCAATATAAAAGTGGTCATTATGCCTCCTGCACTATAATTTTATGTCTGATTTGTGAACAAATTGTTCATTTGAATGAACTGGTGGACACAGTTCACAATACTGGTCAGAATGATTCATTCACAAATAAAGTTCAAGTGCCTGACTCCATGATTCGGTTGCATCAGATTGCTGTAATGTTAGTGTAAATTGCATCATTACATTTGATTTTCTTTATGACACTGATGCAAAATGGTGCAAAGATGTGTTGTTATTTCTTTCCAAGTCAATTTACACAATAGTTTTTTGAACTCTCCATCAGGCCTGTTGAGAAAAGGTAAAGAGTGCATTCATTTGAAAAGCAAACTGCAGGAAAATAAGACTTTAACCCATTGCAGTCGACTTTCTTCTTTCCCATCACAAACAGCCCCATTTCTTTCTGTAACCTGCAGAACTCTGCCATTTCTCCACAGAGCCCTGAAAGCGCACGTCGCAATTTCATCAACAGCAGCTGAACGGCGCAGCAAAACTCCCTCATAGGTTAATCCCGATATCACACTTCACCACCAGTTCACTAAGCTGCTTAAAAGGACACATTATAACTATGACAATGACCTGCTAATGGTTTTACATTTCTCTGAAGCATCATGAGCTATCTTTGTCATTTTTATCTCATAATGAGATCTGTCAGTTGCGCAAGGGAGAAGGAGATCCAGCGGCCAAGGACGCTGATATTTCACCCGCCCAGGCAGAATAAATAATAGCCTGAAAAACGCAGGGGACAAAACAAACCTTGATCCCCTCCACTGCTCTGTTTTCGTAGCAGGCGACTGCTTGGTCTCCTCCCCAGGGTTCTGTGTCGCTATTAGCTGCTTTGCTGCTGTGGGACGCAACACTGGCCTGTGATGGATGACTGGCTGCTCCCATGGGCGTCTTCCAATACTTCCTCAAGCAAAGTCGCCTGAAGAAAATGGGACATCATTTGTCACTTTATCACTGTATTAAGGCCAAATTTTAATTTTCTTTCTTGTTGTGAAGAATTCTCCTCTCTTGCCCTCAAAGACCAATTTATGATATAGTGCTATCAAACTTGAAAACAGATGGTTGTGTCGGTTTTCATCTTCTTCAGAGGGGGAAGTTTATTGTGAAATGTCAGTTGCACATGTTACAGATCAGATGATCATATTCTGGTAAATCTGTTACACTGCACTTATAATGTCAAAAAATAAAAAACAAAAAACTTGAAAGCATGGGTCCAGATGTAGACTAAATGAAGCATTTGCATTTTTTTTGTAAGATATATCTGAGGAATCCGAGGAAGAATTGATGACTAACCAGAAGACGTGGGCAGTGGGTGCATCAACACTGAACCACTAAATGCAAATGAACAACAATAATAATAATAAAAAAAAGGTAGAATGATAACCATCAAAACTTAGTTTTAGAGCTTTAGTCATACTTTCTATTATTAAAGGCTTGGTTAGGCCAAAACCATTAAATTCATGGAATATTTAAATGGATAAAACAAAAGAATATTCTGTCATCGTTTACTTAAAAGTTAATTTCTAAAGGACGTTCTATAGGCTATAGCCATGGTTAGTATCATTAACTAACACTAAGACTATTAAAATAGTTGTGTTAATTTAAATAAATCTAAAATAAAATATTAATATTAGTTAGAAAAAATTAACAAAAATTAGAAATCTTTCATTGGCAACTAACTGAAATAAGTTTAAGTTGAAGCAAAAATGACAAACTGCAAATGAATAAAAAGCTATCATACGAGTTCAGAAGTTGTAGGAACCACATTTATGGTGCTAATTTTGTCATTTTGGAGCTTGGCTGCCCCGATCTTCATTACATTTTATTATATGGAAAAATAACTGCCTGGATATTCTTCAATTATTTATTTATTTCTTTTTGGACTACAAAAGTCAGTCAGTCATATGGGCTTTCTACAACATCAGGGTGAGTAATTGATTAGAGGATTTTAGGTAAAATATCCCGTTAACTATTCATCAAAAAAAAAAAAAAAATCATAAGATATGTTATTGTTGCATCCTACAGCAAAAGAAGTAAATGCTTTATTATCATGTTTTTATATTCTAGCAATAGCAGCCAGAAATGTTAATATTACCAGAAGATAATGTAGCAACTTTTTTGCATTATTTATGAGAGCAATATTTCTTGAGGAAAAGTTATCCTTGAATAACTTTTTCAAGATCCTCTGTAAAAAATAAAAAAATTTAAAAAAAATGATTAGGTCACTGCTCACCCTAAGGCCTCTTTGCATTATGCATTTCCTCTCCGGAGGACAAAATTCTGATAAATCATGAAACAAGATTCACACCTTTGAAAATCCTAAAGCAAAACGCCCAAAGCCTTTCACAGTCCGCATTTGGAAACAGCCCCTGCCAATTCTAATATCATTCAATCTCTGGACCAACTGTTTCCAGCCCGAGAGTATCAATGTCTGACACGCTAATCCAATGACTGCAGTCTCTATTACTTTCAATTAGCTCTGACAGCTCAGGGCTTATTCTATACTGGGCACGTGCGTTCGCTCTGTCGCGAGGGCAAGGCACTTGGAATTCTTTTTGTTGTTGCTGTTTTCATTTTTTATTTCTGAGGTGAAACAGACGTGGCTTTAGTGACCTGGCTCATGCATCATGAGCGGGAGTAGCGTTTGATAGCAGTCGTGAACTGAAGATGAGTGTTTGTTTATCACTGCAGCCATTTTAAGCACATGCACGCACATACATGAGCAAGGTCACCCTCAGACACATGGCCTTGTTCTCTGCAAAGATTCAGTCCTATCAAGTGCACTAAACATGTGAATAGTTTTTGTTTACCTGGTATTATAAACAACATACATTGGGGTCAAAAGGTCAGTCACCACATTGAAAATCTGGGATTTTTCATTAAAATAAAAAGACATAAATTGATATGTACATTTGATTGAATGCAACCTTGAAGAACTTTCAAAAATATAAAAATCTTACAACCTCAGACTTTTGAACAGTGGTATATATATATACATATATATATACATATATATATATACATATATATATACATATATATATATACATATATATATACATATA